CGTTGCCACTGTACAACAAAAATGAAAAACATAAAACTATGAATAAAAATAGGAAGTTTAATGTAAATGTTATCAACAATTTGAAAAAACTGCAGACAATGAAAGAAATAAAAGTCTCACCCCTAACACATCACTGTCACAATTTTATATAATATTATGATATTTTCTTTAGCTTTATCTGGATTCTTTTTTAAAACATCTAATCTTTACCTCAAATTTATTTTGATTATGGTATAGAGGTGACTACTTAAACCATTTCTCCATCATTTACCAATTAGTCTCTCCACATTTCATTATGTTTCTCTGATTTGTGCTGACTTCTTTATCAATAAAGAAGTCTTTATATAATAAAGTATACTTCTCTACAATTTTTCATTTGGACTGTACTTGGGTTATCTTCTTATTCTATTGTTTTGTGGTAAGTGCAGCTCATGTGACTTCTGCATTCTTGAATATGTGATTGGTTATTGTGGTTATTAAGTAATGTGAGCTCTTAGCTCACTGAGTTATGGGTCGTGTGTGGCTCTCTCTTCATTCATTCAGATAGAGATGCAGGGCTATTTTGTTGGCAACTAGGCATAAAGGATACATATGATTACCTTCTTCTACTACTTATCCCAACATTAGCTTTAATTATAGTCTCATATTCTGAGTCATTTCTGTCAATTATGAGTGTGATGTTCAATTCTGGGACAATCGTAGGATATGAATTATCTGCTTACGGGCGCAAGACTGACATTGCCATTCCAAATGGGAGAAATCACAGGTGCCAAGCAAGTTAAAACTCCAGAAGGGCAAATCTCAGCAGTTCTCATGAAAAGAATCTTTTCTCCAGGCACATCTTGGCAATGGCCTTATTACCTGGACTCTGGGGATTGACCACATATGTGTGTGCATAGATATAGTGTATATTGTATAGATCCCCTGCTATCTGAAAGTAGAATATTTCTGTGAAATTTTTCTTAAGCCAAAATAGAGTAAAGTGAAGAAGCCATTGAACAAAGAACCATTGTGAGCATCCCCATATTCAGAAAATAACTTCTCAAATAACATATGTTTTTGTTGATTTTATTTTCCTTTTCCTACCACACTTCCTTTTCTTTCCTTATTACACTGGTAAAGAAAAACACTGTAGAGCGGATATCATTTTCTGGCATTAATGTTAATTAGAACACCTTAGATATACCATCATCTTTTGGTTTGAAATGGGTTTTTAAAAATCACATTAAGGAAATAAGCTTTTTTATGTGAGTTACTAAGAGTATTTTAAGAGAAACAATGGTGACATTTAAAAAAATCACAATTGATCTCATATTCTCCTTTGATAAACCTTTTGGCACAAATAATTAGATACCTAAATTTAGTAATATTTAACTATTCCTGTGTCTCTGCAATAAAATTTATTTTCTCATATTTCAGGCTGAATATGCTAAAGATAAGGAGCCCTCAGTGGTGCAAATTGTTCCTGTATGTTGCCATTAATCCAATAGATTGGACGCTCTGGTCCACCCAGAAATGCCTTAGAAAGTCAGTTACTGAAAACTATGGAGTACTGTTCTCCTCTGAGACACACAGGGCAGCCATGATCAAGACTGACCTAATGGCAGCTGGTAATTGGAAAGCCAGAGGCGGGGATTTGCACATAAGACATTTGTTGGGATGTGCTATTGGGAACAGCATCTGCACAGGGAGAAAGCCCCATACTGGATAGAGTCCGCTCACGCCATGGTGGAGCTGGTGCCCTGGAGCAGCTCAGCACCTGGAATGATGCATCTGGTTCCTCTGAGCAGATTGCAATTCCTCTAGAGATATCAGCAAGCCACTATCAGGATGGGAGAAACCAATGGGGCAGCCTGAAGAAGGAGTCTGGGTGGCATCCTATTGTATCCAGTACAACTCATTCAAATGAATCCTTTAACACAGTTTGACATGCAGGGTTAGTATAGTCAGTCATTAGTGAGATAAGCCTTTAAAATAAATGTATGACGTTTCTGCGATGTGAGATGCTTGTGTCCAGGGAATGCCAGGTTTCTAAACCCATTTGGAACACAGAAAAGGGGAGATTGTTTTTATTACTTGAGAATTGAGGCTTTCTTTATGGTGTAAAGAAACTCACTCACAAACTATTTGGACTTGACATCACCTACTTTATTTTTTGTTACCAACCAGAAAACCAAACCTACTGTTATCAAGCTGATTCTGACTCATCCTGACCCTATATGACAGAGAAGCCCAGGGTTTCCAGGTCTTTAAATCTTTATGGGAGTATATTGTCACATCTTTCTCTCGCAGAGTTGCTGGTAGGTTAAAAAAGCTGAACTTGCAGTTAGCAGCCCAATGCTTAACCAGCCATCCCACCAATGTTTCTGTTTTTAAGAAGAGTATGTAATTCATGGTTTTTGATGCATTCAACTTTTCAACTTCTCAGTACTGTTATAGACATTTTATATTTCCCCAGCAAAAGTATTTTATTTCAGAGTTTAAATTATATTAAAATAAGTAACAAAATGATAGGATTATAAAGATAGTATTATGTCCCTGCCCACTTGTCCACTTGTATGGTTTAGACCATTAGCCAAGACTGAGCCCAGGTTAGATCATTTGATTTTCCCAAGAGTATCAACACACTTTTGTCAGGTAAAGTCTCAGAGCACAGATTTGATTAAAAATATACTTCCTAACCAACCCACCTCATCTTCTGAATTGTAACGGGGACTGCCATAAGAATAAACAAATCTATCTTGAAAGAAGTATAGCCCAAATGCTCCTTAGAAGTGAGGATGACAAGACTTTATCTGACATGACTCGACAGTGGCTGCAGCATTGGGCGGAGGTGCAAAAGCGCTCACGAGGATGATGTAGGACCCGGTAGTGGTTCGCTCTGTTGTACATTGAGTTGGGAGGAGTTGGAGATGACTCAACAGCACCGAACAGCAATAATGGTTTCAATATTTTTTGCACAAATTTAACAAGTGACATTTTCTGAGACTTTGAATACGTGGATACACACTCATATGTATATATGTACATGTGTATGTATCTCCAACCAAACATACAGGGCAAAGTAGAATGTAGAAGTGCTCCATAGTATTTCTAAGGCTGGGATTTTAGGAGAGCAGTCTTATGCTGGTTTCTCTAGAAGCAAAACCAATGTGTGTGTGCGTGCACACACACACACACACACACACACACCTTCTAAAGACAGAAATTTAGATCAAGAAAATGACTCATACAGTTTCAGAGTCAGAAAATCCATCTCAAGTCTAGGCAGGTTCCAAGCCTATGAGTCCTAGCTTAAGCTGGAGATTTCTCCTGGTTCATGTAGCTTTGGGGGACCAATGGACCCAGGATTTATGAGAACACCATAGGTGGATGGCTGCAGAAGAGGATGGATGAATGCAAGGTCAGCAGATCAGCCGTGTGCCTGCAAAGGCAAATGAAGCTAAGATGGGCACATCAGATGGCAGGAGATATGGCAGGCTGTTGGGTCAAGTCCAAAATACTGGAGGTTGCCGGGTCAGATGGAGGATGCAGACTTAGCACAAAGCAGACACATCCACAGGTGATGTAGGGGGTGATGAGTCGGTCTCATAACTGCAGTCAGTAAGTGGAGACCACCAGCAGATCCACAGGAGAAAGATGAGGTTTTCCGCTCCCATCCATAAATATGTACAGCCTTGGACACACAGGGAAAGCTCTACTGTGTCCTATAGGATCGATGTGATTCAGAATCGACTCAATGGCAGTGAGTTTTGAGGTCACATCCTTAAGGAAACTTCCTTCTTCAAACTTGTGACCAGAGTCAAGGGGTTGTATTCTGCCCTCATCTTTTTACATCTGATCGGCTGCTCACAACAGATTTCATTGTGGACTTAATTACATTGTGGTAGGTCACCACAGACAGGGATTGCTAGGCCTTCACTGTCAAAACACTGAGAATCCCGGTGCCACCAACCTGACACAACCCTAATAATAGGCAGACGTCCCACAAAGCAACTTGTGGATTAGGGTCTTCCATCTTACATTAGCACCCAAATGCTTTAATCCTTACCCCAACAGGGCTCCTTATATTTTAACTGAATTACACGCAGAAGTTTGTCACGCAAGCTTTTTACTAACTTTAGTGGAATAAACACTTCACTGGGTATAAACATCTTGGATCTCAAAATTCTGAGTGTAGCTCAGTTATTGTTTAACACATTGCTATCGAGAACAAATGGATGCTAGTTTAATTAATGACAGTTATACCCTCCCACCTACCACCACTGCTTTCATGATGTCAATTAATTTAATACTTCAAATTTGAAGGGAAAAAGTCAGATTTCTTTTGTTATTGGTTTCTAAGAATGGGTCATTACTTTTACCTTTTGATCTTAAGTTATTTTTTCACATCTAAGAAGTTCTTTCCTATTAAGCTTTGGCCGTTGCTTATGATCTAAGTGTTATTTGTGTTTCTCTTTGGTACACATGTTATTCACAGGCTTGGTCTCCATTGCATTTCTAGTGTGGGTTTCATCTGTTCTTTGCTTTCTGAGATTACTGTTCATCTGTTTGGGTATGACTCTTTTTAACTCTTGAGCCTTTTCATTCCAGTATCATCTTCTAATCTTAGCATTGTCTTGTGCTTCCTCTGTTCTTAGCACAGGGATTATCCTTAGCGATCACAACTCCTCATGAAATCCATCCAGATCATTAGGCGACGTAGAAACAAATCTTTAAACGGGAGGATGACAATTGAGAATCCTTAATAAACTGGGCTCTCTCTACCAGTTCTTCCCTTCCAGGGGCCACTAAGAGGCCACTTTTAACTAGTCAGTTTGTCTACCTGAGATTATACCACCCAAGAATTGGGATGGAAGAGCACATTCAATGACCAGACGCTGGATCCTCTGCAAGAGCTATGTCCCCCTTCGTCCTGGTGGCTGTAAATCAAAAGGCCAGTGTAAGCATTGAACATCTCACATTAAAAAAAATGCATTTCTATTTTGTTTCCTTTCCAGGTTTGAGATTTTTGAGAGCTCTCAGACTGATACAGTTTTCAGAAATTTTGCAGTTTCTGAATATCCTTAAAACAAGGTAAGATTGTTATTTCTCACTATTTCCCTCATTCAAGCCCTCGTTCCAGGTTGTAAATATCAGGGGTGTTTGCTTTCGGCACAATGAAGGTAGAGTCCTCCATCTGCAGCAATAGTGACTGAAGACAGGCATTAGCAGGTGGCAGAGCTAGAGTTGAGGCTCCTCTCTTCCGGAGGGCTGTGGGAACAGTGGGGCAGAGAGCGTCAGATGTGCATGTGAGAGGCCAGGGCAGTTATGGAGTATGTCATGTGGGCATGGTGCAAGTTGCTCTGAGTTCAACCATGGATACATACCCAGCAGATGAGGGATGGGTTTGCTCATTGATTGGGAAGTCCTTGCTGCCCGGTTCTAAATCGCCCCTTTATAACATCACTAAATAAGAAATTGAATCTGGCCGTAAAAGCAATAGAAGCAATGCTCTTCGCCAGGCAATCACAACCTCATATGGCAAACAGAAAATCATTTCATTTTAAAGTACATTTTAGATGTTCATTTTATATCCAACATAGCCCCCGGGGCTTCTCTGTGAATTGCCTTTTGGGAAAAAGCTAACAACCTTCCACTGCAGATACCATAGCTGCTTCTGTTAACTGTGTTATGATCTCAAAAATGCAAGGGGTTGGGGGGCGCAGCAGAAAAATCCCCTGGAGGATCCCTTTCCTGATGACCTGCTGGCTCACAGGGCTGGCCTGAAACCAGGGCCATCATGATGAATAAACTAATAAAAAGAGCTTGGACACACTGTAATAGAGAGTAAGTCCAGGTCATGAATTTCTCTTACAGGAAATTACACTTAAGAAGCTCACTGCTACATTTCCTTTCTTGTTGGCCCTAATGTGGTTGAGAAATGCTTTAATATAGAACACCTCTGTATTTTGTTACTTGAAGTTAAGATACCTGCATTTTTGAGGGCCTGGATTCGGCATTGATTTTCCAGTAATGGAGGCTGGGCCTTAGCTTCTGGAATCTGACATCTCCAACAAGTGTAAACCAATCATTGGCTTCCCTCTTTGGGTGTTATCTGTGATTTTTTTTGTTTCAACTCCAAATTGATCTCTCCTTCCAAATTATTCATCTCTTTGAAACTTAGGAAATTCACTGTCAATTAGCCAAATTGAGAAAAGAACATCTGATGCCATAGAGTTCTTTAATAGTGTGTCTTTCCACTCATCACATTTCATAACCTTGGTTTCAGCATCAAACATTCTTCTTTTTAATAGTAGTCTATAATGTTATCAATATTTAGTAAATGCTATGTTCTATGCAGTGGACAAAAAGGATCCCCAGGTGTACAAGGAGCGGAAATATATCCAGGAATGGGTGAAGCATACAGGAGGAAAGTTATGAACACTTATCAGACATGACTGAACTCCTTGATGGAACGAATTGCTCACTGGTTTGGGGTGGTTGGGTAGTGTGGATGGTGCAGGACCGCAGTCTCAAGGAACACCAAAGTCAATTGGCATACCATAGTTCACAAAACAATATTCCATATCATAGGTTCCAAAATGTATTTGGCCCACTTCCCCCTTTACAGAAAAAAACACTACTCAGTGCCTCCCTGTAAACTACACACTGTGTGCTATAGCCCATAATCTCGGAGAAAGTGTAAGCACTGTCTTTGTAGCCCTGAGTCATGGCAGCACCTCCAGGGGCTGATAGTGCCATTATTCTACATTTTATTTTGGTGAGTAGTAACTGGGGCCTTCACATCTCGTGGGTGATCGTTGAAGATGCAAGTATTGGTCTCTTCCTGTCTGGAGGAAGAGGAGTGATGGAAATCAAAGACACACTGAAACAATCAGTCCAGTGGACTACTAGGCCACGCGAGCATCAATCTCCATAACTCTGGGAGGACTAGATAGAATCCAGCCACCATTACCAACTGCTCCCAAAGGGATCCTCTTAGAAGGTCTTGGATAGGGTGGAAGAAGCATGTGGAACAGGACAAAGAAACCAAGCTCACTGCTCAGATAGAGACGAACGGAACCCCAAGGCTATGGCCTTTAGTCCCCCTTAGTTCTAGACATGAATTCACCCACATGGTTCAATTTTCAACCAAAAAATTGATAGTTCAATAAGGGGGGCAATGACATTAACGAAGTATGCATACCTTAGAATAATCAGTCATCTGAAATCAAAAGGGCAGCATTTAAAAGAACAACAACCAAAAAACAAAGTTCAGAAGGATTGGGAACAAAGAAGGAATGGACACGGGACACAGAAACGAGTGGGGTACAAGATGTCACATTGTGGGGGTTGCGATGAAGGAGGTGAAGCAAATGTGTATGGATTTTTTAAGACAAAACTGATGATCTTCTCTCCAAACTTTCACTCAATTCTTAATAAGCAGTAAAAAACAAACCATATGAACCAAACAACAACAAAACTTTATCTAATTTTAAGGACTTTAAAGGCTTTAGGGCAAGTGTCTGGGCCCAATCTCTTTCTAAGGGCCTGGTTCATCTCGGATTCCTCTGTACAGAGCCAAGTTCAGATCTGAGAAAGGGGAGCCTTAGTTTATATAGAGCATGGAATTTTCTACAATTCCCTCATGATTCTTTTTTTGTCCTTGTTTTTTTATAAATCATTTTATTGGGGGTCTTACAGCTCTGATAACATTCCATACATCAATTGTATCAAGAATATTTGTACATATGTTGCCATCATCAGTTCCCAAACATTTTCTACTTGAGCCCTTAGTATCAGCTCCTCCTTTTCCCCCTCCCTCCCTCACTCTCCCACTCTTGTGAATCCTTATCAATTATATATTGTTATTATTATTTCATATCTTACAATCTCCATTGTCTCCCTTTACCCACATTTCTGTTATTCATCCCCTTCAGAGGAGAGGGCTTTATATCCAATCTCATGATGGGCACCCCCTTTCACAACCTTCCCCCTCCCTGACCATACTCCTACCCTCATATCACTACTCCCATTACTGTTCCTGAGGTTTTTATTGTCCTGAATTCCCAGTGTCCAGAGCTCTTATCTGTAACAATGTGTTTTTTTTGGTCTAGCCAGATTTGTGAGGTAGAACTGGGTCATGGTAGTTGGTGGGGTGGGGGAAGTATTCAGCAACTAGAGGCATGATGTGTGATTCGTCGGTGCTATGCTACACATTGGTCATCCCTTCCTTATACCACTTCTGGGGGGATATCCAATTGTCTATAGATGGGCTTTGGGTCTCCATGCTAACCCACCTCTTTTGCATTGGTGTAGTTGTTTGTTTTGGATCTTTTGATACCTGTTGCCTGATCCTGTTGATACTTCATGATCACACAGGCTGGTATGCTTCTTCCATGTGGGCTTATTTGCTTCCCTGTTAGATGGTCACTTGTTTGACTTCAAGCCTTTAAGACCCCAGACATACCTTTGGATAGCCGGCACCATCTGCTCTCTTCACCACATTTGCTTATGCACCCATTTTTGTCTTCAGTGATTGTGTAGGGAAGGTGAGTATCAAAGAGTGCCAGCTTATCAGAACAAAGTGTTCTTGTGTTAAGGGAGGCTTTGAGTACAGGCCCAAAGTACATCTGCTGTCTTAATATTTACCATATAAATATATGTACATTGACCTTTATCCCTTTCACTATATATTTACATATATACATGCCTATAGCTATAGATCTATAAATAGCTTTTGCCTCCTATTTCTTTCCTTTACTTCCTTTCACCTTCCTGCTCCCCCATTATCATGCTTACTCTCCATTCCACTCTCAGTATTTCCTCTCAGATACGATGCTTTTGATCAAGCCCCACTTGGCATTATACACCCTCCTCACCATCAGTTTTAGATCTCTTGTTTTTCCCTTATCTTGAGTTTGTTGGATCCCCATTCCCTCTTTCCACCCACTCCTCTCCAATATCCTCCCCAGAACCACCAGTCCCATAGTTTTCTCCTCAGGATTGTTCATCCTGCCTATCTTATATAGATAGACATAGGGCAAAAGATAAACAAACAAAAACAAAAAACAAAACATAATAAAACAAACAAAACAGAACCAG